ACATTGCCTGTCATTTTTCAATACCTCTCTTCTAGAGGGCATCATTACTCTTTCTGAAAATAATATGTAAAACTTGAAAGGTTTATTGGGGGCCTTCTTTCATACACTTTTCATCACACTTGTATTTTTGTTCCTGTAATAGATAAAGAGCTTTTGAGCAAATCTGGATCAACATACCCTGAATTAAAGTAAAAGTATTTCTTTAATTATTATTTTAGTGTTTTGGGCTCATTATTAAACTCTATCTGAGACTCTCTGTCAAAAATATAGACTAAAGCAAAACAGACTAGTGCCTAAATACTATCACTCCAAGTATTCTTAGGCAGCTATTGAAACAACTACATATCTTTTTCCCTGAGTATCTCTTTTGCTATCTATCTATACATATCTATGTATCTTTTCTCTCTTCTTGCAGGATCTTAGAGGTTTCTCTTTTATACATCTACTGCTTCACAGGAATAGCAATAAATAACAGTAATTTTAACACAACATTTAAGTATTTAAAAATAGGAGGGGGAAAGTGGAGTGTTAATAGGATAAATACCAGAAAGGATTAACTAGGGTTAAAAAGGAGAGAAGATTAGTTATTATCCTATCTATACAGACATCTATACTTCATATAATCAAAAAAGATAGGACACACCAAGTCAGAACTGAAAAAAGATTTTTTTCTTCCCAGCCCTAAACTCAAAGTGAAGTCAGATTTATTAGAACCTGTAGTCCCTATCTGTAAAGTTACTCTAATCTTTCAAGTATTATAGAAAATAAAAGATCGTGTGAGAACACTCGATCTTCACTTTGACCAGCAGTTTTATTGTTATTGCATTGCAAATTTAATAGTTATTATTAATATTATTTATATTGATACATAAGTACCTAAAATTCTCAATGTTCTTGTAGGTTGTAATAGGTTGTAAGAATGTATAACAAAGCTTGGTTCTTTCTGGAAGGAGATTTGAGTGTGAGACCCAAGCTCAGAAATGGTATATGAATAAAACACTGAGAAAGAATAAACAACAACAACAACAAATCCAAGACAATATGCAACATCTTTTATTTAACTACAGTTGGTACTGCATTAAATCTCTAACCCTCACTTGCATTGGCTGAATAAGCCATTACAACTCCATTTGCTGTTAAAATAAGACGCAAGTCATGCACAGACTAATCTAGAAAATAATTCAAGTTCAAAACACAGTGTATGTTTTCTGAGCCATGTTTAACAGCAGAACTACCATTCAGCTTACCAGCAGTATGATCAATAAAGATAATTCAAATAGATGTTTCTGTTGAAGGCATCTAGTCCCTAAGAGGAATTTCGACAACTTAATGTAACTCCAAGCAAAATTTGACTTTATATGGTCATTCAAATATAAATCTACTATTTTCTAATCTGTGTTACTAAATTATTTCACATTCTGTGGTATCAGAAAGATTCATGCAATAACTACAAGAGATTATTTAAATTAAAAAAAAAAAAAATTTTAAGTATGCTTATTTTTTATTTTGCCTGTTGTTCAGATTTGTTATCTTTGATGATAGAAAAGAGCTTTCCATCTCTTCACATCCAACTTTTGATAAACAGTGCGATGAAGTAGTGACCCTACGTTAATGAGATGGTTTGTTGCTATGGTAATGCCTGAGTAGTTACAATTTAAGGCCTGACTTCATTACCAAATTGAAAGTACAGTTCCTCTATAAGGTGTTCAATGTTTGCTTAAATCCAGATATGTCTGATAAACTTTTGGTTTTATCCTCTATGAAAAGTGAACTACTTAGGAGTGTTTCCCACACACTCCTTTCATACAAACTTGATTAATAGGTGCTGTGTTCCTATGTGTTTTACTGTGTTTAGAAGCACATATTTGAACTTCGAGCACTGACCCCTTTTAAATGTTTGCATGTATGTTACCTCAAAAACTTAACGTTATATTTTTGCTCTAAAGAAGGTAAATTCTGAGTATAACATGATATATAGATTTGTTTCATTTATTTGTCATTTACATCTATAAAGCACTTTGAGAGCCTTGTACCCTTTAAAAAATATTATTGTTAATGCCTTGTGTTTCATTTTTAAATGTGATATTAACTTTTTCTATCAAACTAGAAAGGCATGACATGAATAACTCAAGGTAGTGCTCTTCTTATAATATAGGGAATGTATTACTGTCAAAGATGATGGTGATGTGCCTGCTGGTTGGCCTGTGCTGTTACAGTGGTTGTGGTACTGCCACAACCATGGTGGTCTGTACTGTTTCATTGGTAGGAGGGCGTTTATGGTTGTACAGCTTCACTATTCGTACTGAGCCAGTTCTGAAACTGGATGTATGGATGGGCTGCATCAGAACTAAATCTATGAATTCAGATCTGCTGAGCTCATGCTGAAATCAGTGTGCCTAAATCTGCATGCAATTACACTGAAATCAACACAACTACACCAACAATGCACTGCATCTAGGCTACAGAAATTACATTATATAGACATAATATCTTGGGTAGACCATAGATTCACTGCACTGCATAGTCATTCATTATTATCAATATTGAGAACTTTAACATTTCAAGGTATGGCATAATCTTAAAAAAAAAAACAAGTAGCTCATATTCATGTGGTAAGTTATCTTGTTTTATTTTCCAAAACGGTTTAATTCCGTCTCCCAATCCAGCCTCTTCAAATAACTTATTTTTGACTGTTTTTAGCAGTTTCATCTAAAGTGTGTGCCCTATGAGTTTGAGAGCCTCAGTTCTTATAAAGTATTAGTGTGGGAGCTGAGTAATTTGACTTAATCAAAGTCAAGAAAAGGTGGGAGTGGTGGGAGGAAAAAAGAAGCTGGCAAACTTCTATTTTAGAAAGCCTGCTGGTGCATATTCAAGAAGTTTGTGGCACAGCAGATAGTTCCAGGCCAGAGACATTTAATCTAGGGCCAGCAAAATTATGGTGAATTTGTAGCACCCTAAAGAAGTTAATAAAAAACAAATAGCTAAATTTGATATCCTACTGCAACTTGTTTTAGGAAATTTTTCAGCATTGCAGAAATAAAAAGGTACCATTTAGTACTGATTTAACAACTGTACAGTTCATTAAAAATTATTTCAGGCATCTATGCCTTTGATGTTATTTTTCATTTTGTTTTGCTTTTTAACATATATCTTTTAAAACAACAAAAAAGTCTACGTTAAAAAAAAAAAAAAAGGTCCTTGTGAACTCCATTTAAGTAGTTTTAAATTATTTCAGAGTTATTGTTTAAAAGAAGAAAAATAGTTACAAAACTTTACTTCACCTGATTATCAATTGCCAGAAAAGTAACTGAATGTTACATTAAAACAAAACAAAATATTATCATTACACATTACCTAAATTGATTCTCTTTATCACAGAGCCTTTGATGAGATGCAACTTGCAGTAATATGACACAATCAGACTTAATGGAATGTAGTAGATACAAAATACTTTGTTCTTTTTATGCATCATCTCTGTTTTATCCTTATCAGAAACTCAAATTAAAATTATTATTCAATAATTCCAAATATGTATAGCATAAAATAAACATACATGTTTCCTTTTAGTGAACCAGAATTAATATTTTCAAAACAAGTGAAACAATATGCCTTTGATTACAAAGGCATAAAAAAAAATAACACTATGATTTCAGTTTTGGTATTTTAAAGAACATAATTCATACTGACTTGAGCAAACTTCACTGGTAAGTGTATTTTAAAACTTTTGTGGAATCTTCTTGGTTTCTCCCTTAATAGTGCAATATAATCAATTTCCTTAACTAAATCCTTTCCTTAACCAATACCTTGTTGTAGAGATATCCCTAATCCCCTGCTGCATAGAAATCACTAGAACCCCACTGTAAGTTTTTACTCTGGACATTGCCACGTACAAATCTTTAACTAAGGTGCTGTTTTGATTGTAGCAAACTCTACTGAATTATTGTGATAACTAGGATAATGATTGATTAACTGATGATTAAGTGCTACTAAAGAAAAACTCATACAATCTAATTTGTGATTTATCATAAAGGAATTAATAAATCTTAAATTGCTGATGCATCAGGTAAGTATGATTTTTTTTCTATACAGCAGATGACACAGGTGAATTAATTGTATGAAAAAAAAAATAAAACAAACAAAAAACAACAGCAACAACAAAACATTTCATATCCCTTGTAATAATTACTACCTCAGTTGTGCACAAATAATGAGGAAACCCTGACTTAGGTCATATCCTATTACAGTAGATAAACTATAAATAAAATTTAGAAATAGTTTCATCCTCAAGGAATTTATGAATGCAACAGGTAAATTAACAGCTGGCAAATAAACCATGTAATCTGATAATATCTCTGATGATATAGGCAACTATCATGACATAGCAATTATCTAACAATTTAAGTTTTGTCCCTACATTTAAGAATGTAGGGATTAGTTGGATAAAGGAAAACCAACAATGAGAACTTTCAAACCAACAACTTCCAGTTGTTTGGAAGATTCCAAAGAATGAAACAAACAGAATCAGTGATCAAGTTGAAGGAAATGGCTAACATGGAAAGAACATAAAATTAGAAAGTGATATTTATAGCAATAACACAAAAGTCTGTTGCTAAAACAAGATGCCTATCCCAAGCAAAGAATGTCGCTGTAGCTTATATCAGTGAATGTCAGTATTCACTGGCAGTTTTAACTGGCTTTAACAAAGCTAGTTCACAAACTGCCTTGATTGGGCTAAGCAGGAAATTTTTATCCTGTTCATGAACAGGATAAAAAGATATTACTACAGATACTGGTATGAGAACATAGACTGGGCTGTAGTTGAAAGCAAGTGGGATTTAATATGTTTCTCCTTACTTATTTTACAGAAAAAATAAATCTACTTCTTGAATTACAAAAGTAATCTATAAAAGTTTTATGCGTTATTATACACACTATCTCAAAAAAGGTTATCACCCTTACTTGCTAAAGAATTTTTCTCACAGTTTTTTCCCTGTCTTTAGGTGATATGTCTTTAGTTGAGCTTCTAGCAATGTGGAACTGGAAAAACGAGTCATCCAGATGCAGACCCATCTGGACCACTAGCTGTGGAAGAAAACAGACTTGATGCATTTATCATCAGGATAACCGAATCTGTATGTGTCTAGGCCTAATTCTTTCTTACAATGTAAACTTTTCCTTGGCATACAGTAGAAAATTACTTCTACCTGTAACCAAAACCACCTTATATTTCACGATTCAAGTTTTCTTTCTTCTCATACTAGTATTTAAGAGAAAGAGGTTGAAAAAAAAGTGGAAAAGATAAGTGAGCTGACTTTAAATGAAACTGCATGAGGAAAGCAAGGAGAAAGGATGCAGGTTCTATTAAATGTCACTGAGTTTTGAAACTTCACAAAGCATATTAAACTACAAAAAATAACATCAGAAAATTGACTGATATATATCATGACATTACTGATGCTTACTAACAGCCTTCTAGAAGTTAACTGTTTCATAGAGGCAAACATCCACAAGACACTCGCATGTGCAATTGATCTGCTTTTGTTCAAAGGACTTTGAAAGAATTTGAATGATGACTGGGTTACTCAGGCTACTTCCTTACAACTGTGCTTAGCTGCTTTGCCTTAATACCCAATTTCTCACTTTTGAGATAATACTGACTTGAATGTTCAATGCTGTTTTGACATGGATACGCAAAGACTAAATGTGCTTTTCTGTAGTTACTGATATGCCGTGCCTTGGCAGAATGTAAGTGATTTAACCGTTTATACTGTCTTTGTTTTGAAATCCTTAATCTAGGTTGTACATGACAATATGATATTTACTTGTGACTTTTTCTTGTTGAAAAGTTTTTTTTTGTAATTGTTGTTTCTAATTTTTTTTGCTTGTTCTTAACACAAGTCTTGGTGAAAATATAGAACAGTTCTAGAGAATGTGAATGTGGTTTAATTTCATATGGCTAAACAAGAAAAGTGGTTCTTTGTTGGAAAATCATGGAATCATTGGGTGTTCACTGCTGAGCCCTTAAAAAAAAAAAAAAAAAAAAAAAAAAAAAAAGAGGCACTGCATATCCTTTTTTTTTTAAACTTTATTTTTGCTATGTTAGGAGATTCAGCCTTACTGAGTTTGAATATAATATATTTGTACATTTGTTATTTAAATTTCAACATCTTCAGTTTTTCCAAACTCTACTAGGTGATGTTTAATCTGTGGTATAACAGTTTATAGTTTTATTCTATAATGCAGCTTTAATGATTCTACTTTTAATATTTCAATCCTGTTTTTTGTCTTCAGTGGAACATAAATTCAAGCTGTTAAAAAATTAGTTTCCATTTACTTTACATTTCTTAACTATTATAGAAATGAAATCAACGTCACGTGTACCATGTATGTTGTGGGTAACTTTTTAAAGGCTAGGATGTGTGTGTAGGGGGGGACCTCATGTATTTAGAGTAAAAGCATAAAATCTGTTGCTTTAATTTCTGCAGTTTTTATAACCACTTCACCAACATCTACACACTATTGGCAGCCAGCTAATGCAAAAGTGACTCTCAATAGTTTAATAAAAAGACAAGGGATATGTTTGCACAGTGCCTGAGGTACCTTAGCCTCAGAAATGCTAAAGGCTTGGTATTTACAGCTCTGTAACTTTTCACTTAAGCTGCTGTAGCAGTGTATTTCCAGAACCTGCATGGCCATATTCCCATGTGTTCTCATGCTGCTATTCTGGTGTTGTTGGTCTCAGGGGCATCCACCCGCAAAACTTTATATTATCACTATGGCAGGTTCTCAGGAGAAGCAACTACCAATGGCTTGAGAGTGACCCTTCTTCCTCCCCCTTCATTTTATTTTTTTTTGTAAACTTTAATTAATATTATAAAAAACAAGTGTAATCCACAACAAAGTAGAGAGAAGTTATTGAAACTCCTTATAAATAATATCCAGTAATACATATACACAGAAACTTAGCCAATCAAACAGTTGTAATGACATCAGAAACAGGGATAACAAATAGGAAGTTTAAGCAGGTCCCACTGAAAGGAGGATAGTACTAAAAAACAAACAAACAAACAAACAAAAATGGTGAAAATCATCTTCATCATTACTACCTACTGCAGTGGGAGGCCCCACCCCAAGAGAAGGGGAATTTCCTCTGGGCCTACTATCCCCCACCATTGTTCTTCCCTGTTCTCATGTCAAGTTTTCCTCTTACCTTCCTTCTCTTTCTTTCAAGGTAACCTTCACTGTAATAGTTGAGGTACTCAACATCAGCTACTCATTTTGCTAATAAATATTCATATATGTGAACTTGTCTCAAAGTGCTTTCTATAACAACGTTAGTTAAAAAATCCCAATAATTTTGTAAAAAAAATAAAAAATAAAATAAAATAAAATAAAAAGAAGATGAGATGGCATGCTTCAGTATATGTTGTGTAATTTGTTTCTCAATAGGCCCTTAACCCAATTCACAATAGACACCTCCTGTGCATGGTTCTGTCTGCCTGAGGTAACTAGATATTTTAGTTCAGTTTCATGGTTTTTATTTTGTTTGAATGTTTTTGTCTGTTACACTCCTGAAGCAATAAATCATCCAGCTTCCCTAACTGCCCTTCTTGTCACTTGAGAATTTGAACAGAAATATTAGAAACACCCACCTCTTTTGATCAGATCAAAGGATCCTTTAAAAGCTTATATGCTGATTTATCACCATGGAAAGACAAATTTTCTCTCTGTATTTTATAAATTATTTGTCTCTTTAACTTTCTACATTTTTCAGAAGTCCTTTTCCTTCTCTTAATGTCTAATGAGATCATACCTTTTTAACATGGAAAAAAGTGTTATAAAGATAAATCTTACGTATCTAATCAATTAAATTGAAACTCATGTTACTATAATTTATTCAGATACACTTATATATTAGCTTAAAAATAAAATTCCATAGTTGATTTGTACAATCACAAAAGCTGAATAAGGAGGTAAATTAACTAATAATTCTGATAGGGAAAGATTTGATTGCCTGATTGTCAGGTATTAATTTTCACAGGACCTTTGCTTCAGAACATGTACTGTTTTTGAATTACTTTTTAAGTGTTTTATATATATGTAGGATGTTTTTTCTCTCCCTACTTTTCTTTTTTTTTTTTTAATTAAGGTACAATTATATTTCTTCTTGCTCTGTGTTAAATAGTTTAATATATGTTTTGCTAGCTCACTGAATTTCTCAGAAAGTTTTTTCCCCTCCCTTGCTCAAAGATCAAGGAATATTTTCATCAACACACCCATAGATTAGAAGATGTGGAAAACACAAATGATGTATTGTCACTGCTTAGGAAATGTAGAAAGAACAGTGAAGCTTATTTTTGGTAGTTACCATTAAAACAAAAGACACCACTACAAAAAATGAAAAAGAAACAAACAGAAACAAAAGAAACTAACTTGAATAGTCATATAGTCCTATATATAGGACTGTAACTTTGTTTGAATGTAAGCATAGAAGGCTAGAAAATATTTATGGAGCTATTCTTTATAAGCAGATATGAAAATACACAGAAACAGGCAAAGAAGATTTTCTGAAAACTGAAGGACAGCATTTTGGTCAGCACGCCTGAAAAACTAATGAAAATACAACTGGAAGTAATATTATGTCATTCTGTCTTTTCTCTTTATGCTATACTGTATATAATTAAAAGAAATTGAACTATGTAATCAGTTATCTTTCTAAGGAAACAGAAAATGCTAAATACTGATTCAATCCCAAGTACGGTAACTACTTCTGTTGTTATCTAACTGGTTGAATTTAAATGGTAAGAAAGAGTTTTAATTCTCCAGAGTATTGCTTTTCTTTCTCCTAGAATTTTCTCTACTATTCCAGGTTACTGCCATGGTATGGCACTGCCCCCACAAATGAAAATTAGCAAGGCACCAAAGGGGACCCCTGAATAGGCTCATCCAATTAAGTCCAACTATGACCTACTAAAGTCCCATTGATGAACCAGGTTCCATGTCCCATGTGTAGAGATTAGAAATGTCTCATGTATAGAAATCAGAAATGAGAACCATGTTTGCATTGTGATTCAGCTCTATATTGCAGCATTTACATGTATATTCTGCTAAATATAGTTTATACTTTTGTAACTTACAAACATTCTCATACAAGTCTTCTAAATCAAAATCACTTGAAAGATCAAATAGTTAAATATATTTGTTATTAAGCATGAATTCCTTCTCATGTGGAATATCTAAAGGAACACAAAAAGAGGTTATTGGACTCTTGACACCAGTCAGGGAAATTGATATTTTTTTGTACCTAGTAGTACACTTTCTATCTCTCTGGCTGCTGTTTGAGTTTAAGTCAAGCAGGACACCTAAACACTGAAGAAGAGGATGGGTATTTTGAAGCTCTTCTGTCTGCTAGAAGGCAAAACATAAGAGGAAGAACAGTGATTCCCAATAGCTGCCCAACAAATATAATTCTCACCATTACTGGTGAAATGCTGCAGTTAGTAATGGTCAAGTGTCTACCTGTTTCAGTTGAAGCTCTGGGAATGCCTTCTGTGATAAATGTCTGACTAAGTGAAGTAGCTACTTCTACACCCTCCAAGCCCCCTGCCATGAGCAGAGACAACTTCCATGAGACCTAGTTGCTCAAAGGCGCATCCAACCTGGCCATAAACACTTCCAGGGTGTTTAATTTAACTTATTGTACTTTTTGTATTTTTTTAGGTTAGTGTACCTTTTTAGTGTACCTTTTATATTTTTTTACCACTGTGATATTTAATAGTAGAGAGCTATTAAAATATACCATGCACAGTGAATAAGAATGATTTACTGGGTAAAGAAACACATACACACTCTTCAGGAGTTTTATTAAATTATAGTAGCTAATTTTCTGGACAGATACATAAACATATACTATGTAAACAGATTCAATCCCTTCTTCAGCTTGTAAAGTAAAATCTTCCCTCGAACTTCTTTTTCTTTTGGCAAAATCTTCCCCCCGCCCCAGTAGACAACTGATGGTCACGCAGGCAAATATAAACTAATTTTATTTTATTTTTTTTGTATAAAGGACACTAAAATTTCACAAACAAAACATGACATTGTTTCTAACTGACATAAAAAAATATATAAATGAATGGAGTTATTGGTTTATATATTTTAGAATTATTTTAACATAACTAAGACAGCAGAGTTAGGAAAAAGAAGACATTGTGTTATTTCTTGTACATAAATGAAATCCATCTGTTTGGCACCTGAAGGTGGTTAATAACCGGAAAAGTAGCTGGAAGAATTTCTTCCATCTACCACTCTCTGGGAACACTAGGAGTAGATGAATAAGCAGAATAAATGAATATCTGAATACAACTCAGAAAAGTGGAACACTGAAAATTCAGGTCAACATTAGCTTGAACTTTCACTCCATATGTCTGAAAATGCATGTTGGGAAGAAATGAAAAATCCAAATCCACATCCGCTACAAGAAGGACATCGAGGTGCTTGAGCGGGTCCAGAGAAGGGCGACGAAGCTGGTGAGAGGCCTGGAGAGCAAGTCCTATGAGGAGCGGCTGAAGGAGCTGGGCTTGTTCAGCCTAGAGAAAAGGAGGCTCAGGGGTGACCTTATCACTCTGTATAAGTATATTAAAGGAGGCTCTAGCGAGATGGGGGTTGGCCTGTTCTCCCATGTGCCTGGTGACAGGACGAGGGGGAATGGGCTAAAGTTGCGCCAGGGGAGTTTTAGGTTAGATGTTAGGAAGAATTTCTTTACTGAAAGGGTTGTTAGACATTGGAACAGGCTGCCCAGGGAGGTGGTTGAGTCACCATCCCTGGAAGTCTTCAAAAGACGTTTAGATGTAGAACTTAGGGATATGGTTTAGTGGCGACTGTTAGTGTTAGGTCAGAGGTTGGACTCGATGATCTTGAGGTCTCTTCCAACCTAGAGATTCTGTGATTCTGTGATTCTGTGATATAGGGAATGATGGGTATGACTGTCAACCTTCTTTTAGTTCTGTTCTATTCTGTAATACTTATGTTGCCTACAGACTTGAAGAGCTTCTCTC